CCCCCCCCCTTTTGACTTTATGTGAGTGAAAGCTTTCCCTTCCAAGGCCTCGCCTGTCTACCCTCTGGGTTCGTTCTGAGGTGTGCCCACGCTTAACTCAATGTCTCGAGACTCAGCCCGAGCACAGATCAAGTTTATTCGCTTAAGGAGTGTTGCACCACAGAAATTCCTTATTTACAGTACTTTTTTGACAGTCAGAGTTGTGCAACAGTGGGATCAGCTGCCCAGGGAGGGGGTGAGCTCCCCCTCCCTGGCAGTCTTTAAGCAGCAGCGGCTGGACAAACACTTGTCAGGGATGCTCTAGGCCAGTGATGGCGAGCCTTTTAGAGACCGCGTGCCCAAACTGCGACCCAAAACCCACTTATTTAGCGCAAAGTGCCAACACGGCAATTTAACCTGAATACTGAGGTTTTACTTTAGAAACTTTATTTCTACATTAACTTAAGATGATCCAAACAAAGTAAGGAAAGCAATCCCAAATGCTTTCATTTACTTAAAATTATTCAGCAGAGAATTTGACACTTTAATGATTTATTGATTTATTTAAATTTATAACCTGCCCTCCCCGCGAACGGGCTCAGGGCGGCATACAGATGGGGCCAATGCCCAGTACATAAAACATGATGGTCTGGGCCTGGCTGGGGTGATGGCACACATGCCCACAGAGAGGGCTCTGAGTGCCACCTCTGGCACCCGTGCCGTAGGTTCGCCACCACTGCTCTAGCCCGATCCCAGGGCTCCCTCTAAGCTGTGGAGTCTTGTGAGCAAAAATTCTACTTTGTGAGCCACTGGCATTAAAGCTGTGAGCGAGCGATCTGGCAGCTGCATCAATGAGTTTGCTCTGGAGCCCTCCTTCCTGAGCGGAGACTAAAATGTGTGAGCCGTAGACTAAAAAACTATGAGCTAGCTCACACTCACTCAGCTTAGAGGGAACACTGGTTGGACTAGATGGCCCGTAGGGCCCCTTTCCTACTTTGTGATTCCACGATTCCCTCAAATACAAACAATAAGCACACAACAAATTAACCTTACTGTTGCTACCTAAAAAAAACAACACCTGCCTATTTTAGAACTTTACTACCTTCAGTCATCTCCGAATGGTATTCTTTTATTGTCCGTCTTAGAATATGGAACCTCTTCATGCTCATCTGGTGTAGCGTGGAGGTATGCCGAGGTGAAAAGCATTTTTTAAAAAAAGAGTTCTGCGTGCCTCTGAGAACTCAACAGCCAATCAGGACTGGGCAGTTAATTTGCATCTCAGCTGAGAGAGGGGAGGAAAACTAGGGAGGACAGATAAAGACTCTGTGAAACCATCTCCCAAGGTCAAATATGGGGGAAGCAAAAACTACTCTGCAGGTGTTCACCATCAGCAGAGAGAGCAAAGTGAGTCAGAATCCGAACAACACTTCAAGTTCTGAGCCAAAGTTCAACCATCTTATTAAAACCTAGAACTTAAGCTAGGGGTGTCGAACTCATTTGTTAGGAGGGCCAGATCTGGCATTTATGTTGTCGGGCCGGGCCATGTGTGTCATAAAATGTAATGCCAGGTAGCGGAGATATAAACTTTATAAAGGACACAGACACAAAGAGTTTTTTTACTTCAAAGAAAAACATGCTTAAAACATTAGCACTCTTGCAATATTTTGTTTATTTAACAGTGTCTGATAACTGACACCTCTTGCTCTGGATTATTGCATCAAAATGTCTCTGCTGTTGCAATCTTGAGTTTGCCGTTCGGGTGTGTATCTGTAAGCTGCAAACCTGCGATGGCGCAGCAACAGCGGAACGGGAAGAAGAAGCAGAAGACAGCCAGTTTCACTGCGGGTCTGATAGAAGCCCTTCCGGGGGCCTGATCCAGCCCCCGGGCCGCATGTTTGACACCCCTGACTTAAGCTATCGAGTTCATTACAAGGATGAAGGTCAGAGCCATAAGTCACCAGGCAGGAAGGAAAACCCACTTAGGAATGAAACAGGTCCCCTGAATTGTTACATAAAATACTTTTATAAACGAAGCTTTGATCGCATGACTAAGTTCCGTGTGCTGTAGAGAACCTCTACCATGGAGCATGCCTCTGCTAGCGCTAGCATGTCAGTTAGTGCAAGACCAATGTACATCGCCGACATGGATGCAGACAGGAGTGCTAGGAGAGGAGGAGGCATACTCCATGGCAGCGGTTGTCTAGCGCACACAGAACGCGTCGGTTAGGATTCAAGTCCAGACCAGGGTTTTGCTCTTTCACATTGAGTTGCGATGGCACCTCCCCATTGGCCACTTTTGTGGTGCAGACCTATACGAGAGGTGGGGTTTTTTGCCATCAAGTCATAGCTGATGAATGGCGACCCCGTAGGGTTTTCAAAGCAAGAGGTGTTCAAAGACAGTCTGCCATTGCCTGTCTCTGCATCACGACCTTGGTAATCCTTGGTGGTTTCCCATATAAATACTAGCCAGGGCTGACCCTGCTTAACTTTTGAGATTTGACAACATTGGGCTAGATAAGTCAGGGTATTTGGCGGGGGGGAGTAGTGAAATCCAGCATAAATGTGATGTTGACGTCTTCCAAACCATGGTATGGACCTCAGGAGCAAGACTTCGAGATGGGCTCTACACCTGTCCCTTTGTCTGTCTCTGGGGGTGATTCCTTCCTTCCCTTCTTACAAACAACTATGCTCTAATGTTAGATATGCATCAATGCTAACCATGGTTGACGCCAATGTTCCCTCTAAGCTGTGGAGTCTTGTGAGCAAAAGTTCTACTTTGTGAGCTACGGGCATTAAAGTTGTGAGCAAGCAATTTGGCTACTGCATAAATTAGTTTGCTCTGGAGACATCCTTCCTGCGCCGAGACAAATATGTGTGAGCCAGAGGCTAAAAAACTGTGAGCTGGCTCACACTAACTCAGCTTAGAGGGAACACTGGTTGACGCTAACCAAATTCCTTCATAACAACCACTATTTGCAACTCCACATTCTAGTTTCAAATTCTGGTCTGTGTGGAGAACCGTAGTTTGCATCAACCATGGCTGGTGTGGTTTATATTAACTCTTCAACCATGGTTAATGCTAACGAGAGAAGGAAGGAAGGGACTTGCTGTGGAAAGAAGAGGAAGAGGGAGTGTGCACCTTTGAGGCTGCTTCTCCATCCACAAGCAGTATATTTATGATTATAAATATTGTAACCATGGTTTGCTGGGAGCCAAGAGTATGCCTTAATCAGCCTATTGGAACAATACAGGGAGAACATCTGTGTTGCTCTCTGGCTTCTGGCTGCAGGCTGTCTCTTCCATCCAGGTAACTAGTTAAGAGCTTAATTGTTAAGTAAATTTTGTTTTGGTGTGGGTAAGTTCCGTATGCGGATTCTGCTAAAAGTCTTACTGAGGAAGAATCCTTCTGCAGAGTCTTCCTTGGTGGCCTCTCATCCAAGTTTTTATGGTAATCCCTGTGAGTGGCTTTCAAGGCAAGCAAGAAGCAGAGGTAGTTGGCCATTGCTTTCCTCTGCAGAGTTCTTCTATAGCTGCATAGGATCAAGGCAAGATTTGGTGCTTGGGGGGCAACAGTGGGAGGGCCTCTGGAGTTCTGGCCCCGCTGGTGGACTTCCTGATGGCAGCCGGGAACAAAAAGAGGGGAGGAAAAACTTAGCCCAAACAAGTTGAATTAAGAAGCCAAAAGGTTAAAGGGCCAAATGATGTCAATTTAAAACATGTAACATAAATACTGTCAAATATGCCAAAATAATTTGGATTTATTACAGATATAGGCCCAATAGTAGCCTCAAAACAGGATAAAATCACACATCGGTATCAAACAGAAAATATATGTGACCAAGACCATACACATTTCAACCAATTTGGCCTTCCTCCGTGGTCAAACATAAATACGACCCCTGGGTTTTGGCCACTGTGTGACGCGGAGTGTTGAACTCGATGGGCCACTGGCCTGTTCCAACATGGCTTCTGTTAGGTTCTTCTCAGCGCTGTTAACCAGACAATCGCTTTGTCTCATCCTTCCCCCCATGTACTTCCTGCAGCACTTCCTGTTTTGTTTAGCTATTGCCACCGTTTGGGGCGACCTGTGGAATTTTCAAGCGATTCTTACTTGAAATTGACATGATCCTTGCATCTCTGAGTACTGCTTTCTGCCCTCATAGGCATGGCTTGAACCAGTTCTTCTCATGCCGAGGCATTGCCCTGGCCGTACAGTATTTCTGGGACCGTGGTCACCGGGAAGTGACGGTTTTTGTTCCTGCGTATCGGATGGAACCAGATTCCAGCGTGAGAGGTGAGCGATAGGCTGGTACCCGACTGAAGAAATCTTAGTGGGGTAATCTCATGATGTTTGATTTATTAAATCTGCATCTATTTGCATCTGCTAAAAATCTCTGCTTTTTGTTAGAATGACTGACACAAGTATTAAGCAGGGGAAAACGTTTTGGAAGAGGCATTCCCTCTGATGGGAAGGAGGAGGCATGCCCCTTCTAAGATGGGAATCGGGGTTTGTGAAACTGACAAGGTGCTGTTCGAACGTTTGAACAGAAGTGTAAACCTGCACTTTGATGTACAGTCGTGGTGAATCTATGTTTTGAAATACTGGAGGCCAATATTTAAAAAGTAGCATAGAGAAATCTTAAAAGAAGAGAAAAAGAAAAAGCACAACATAGATTTACCTTACGTGTACACCTATTACACACAGCTGTTATATATATTTTTCATGTCTTTCTAACACTGTGACCCTCAGTTGTTGTACCTTCTAAGGTGGGGTCAAACGCCTGCAGTTTTTAATAAAATAAAAGTCATTAACGCTTCTAAAAATTCTGCTGCCCAGTTAGGTGGGACACAGGGCTCTTTTTGTAGAAAAAGCCCAGCAGGAACTCATTAGCTTAATAGGCCACACCCAACAACAGGAACTCATTAGCATATTAGGCCACACCCCTGACAGCACAGCTCATTAGCACATTAGGCCGCACCCCCATGTTACCAAAAGTGTGGTTATCCAGCCACATCCACCTTTTGCTTCTTATTCTGTTTACCTTGTTTGTGGTCAAAACACAGGGCCTTTTTTTGTAGCAGGAACTCCTTTGCATGTTAGGTCACACACCCCTAATGTAGCCAATCCTAATGAGTTCCTGCTGTTGGGTGTGGCCTATTATGCTAATGAGTTCCTGCTGGGCGTGGCCAACTCAGGAGCCAGCCGGAACTCAGTTCCTGTGCGTTCCTGCCCAAAAATAGCCCTGCCCTTTTAACTGATCAAAAAGCAATTGATTTAATTGAGAGCGAGCATGGCGTGGTGGTTAGAGAGTCTGTGTAGGCTCTGGGGAAATCCAGGTTCAGATCCCCCTTTGGCCATGAGCACCTGGTGGGTGACCTTGAGCCAGTCCCACACTCTTCAGTCTTACCTGCCTATATAGGGTTTTTAGGAGGGTAAAACGGGGTGGGGAGGATGTTGCAAGTCATTTTGAGTCCTCACTGGGGAGAGAAATAAGAGCTATAAATGATGTAAATGAAGCCAGTTTGGTGCAGTGGTTAGGAGCACGGACTCCGATCTCGGAGAACCAGGTTTGAGTCTCCACTCCTCCACATGCAGCCAGCTGGGTGACCTTGGGTCAATCACGCCGGCATTAAAGCTGTGAGCGAGCGATCGGCCTACTGCATAAACTAGTTGGCTCAGGAGCCCTCCTTCCTGAGCCGAGACAAAAATGCGTGAGCCGGAGGCTGAAAAACTGTGAGCTGGCTCACACTAACTCAGCTTAGAAGGGGACACTGCTCACAGGGTGTCTGTTGTGGGGAGGGGAAAGGAAGGGAGATTGTAAGCCGCTCTGAGACGCCTTTGGGGAGTGAAGGGCCGGGGGTATAACTCCAATCTCTTCTTCTAAACTAATGGATCCAGCCAGGTTTTCAGTCTTGCCTGAGGACAGCTCCCTTCCTTAGGACAGCCAGCGTCCCACATGCCTCTTGCCCACGCAGATCCCATGAACTCCAGCAGTGCCTTTTGAGGTGGTCAAAGAGGACCTTTCCTCCCCTTTTCACCAGCGGAAAAGCTGGTTGGACCCAACCCCTAGTTAGAAATCGCTGATCTGAAAAACTGACACTGGCACTGGACCTAATGCCCAGGCTTCTGCTCTGGTTCTCCCTTTTCTATTTCCCAAATCACAGAGCAACACTTCCTGTTCGAGCTGCGTGAACTGAGCATCCTCTCTGTCACGCCTTCGCGCAAAGTGGATGGGAAGAGCATCCTGCCGTACGACGACAGGTAAGCTGCGGGTAGTTGAAAAGGTAGTACAGTCAGGGGTCATGTGACAGGCAGGTTGCATCAGACTCTGCCACGATCACCATGACTCAGCTCTATGCAAATTGCTGTAACCTGATTGGTCTTTGTAAATATATATGGAGAACTGTACAGTACTGGAGATCTCCTGTGTGGGGTCAGTTGTCTGCGAAGCACCTTGTCAGAGCGAACAGTGGGTTTGGCTCAAAAGGACTGTGTATATACTCCAGTGTAAATAAGCTGTAAATACTCGAAACTACTCTGCTACTTTTCGGCGTTTCTAACTACCGTCACGTACGACGACAGGTAAGCTGCGGGTAGTTGAAAAGGTAGTCAGTACGGCGAATATTTCCCCGTGTCCCGACCAGCCACGCAGAGAGGCTGTTCTCCTAGCACTTGCTCCTTTGCCATTGGCTCACTTGCTGTGATGTCACAGAGCAGTGAGCAAAAGTTAAAGGGTTTGAGGTAGGGGGATGGTCACTTCACGAAATGAAATGTTGAAGCCCAGACAGTGAGTGCAGAAGAAGTGAAAGGCTGCTGTAGCCCAAAGGAAAACAAAAAGAACTAAATGCGAGACCTCGAGATGGGAGGGGTTCTGGTGTTGCAGGGAGCTTAGAGAGGCAAGGAAGTTTCGTGTCTCCAACCCAGCAATTCAGGAACCAAGAGAGCCAGTTTGGTGTAGTGGTTAAGTGTGCGGACTCTAATCTGGGAGAACCGGGTTTGATTCCCCACTCCTCCACTTGCACCTGCTGATGTGACCTTGGGTCAGGCACAAGCTCTGGCACAGCTGTCCTTGAAAAAGAGCCGTTTGTGTCACGAGTTCTCTCAGCCCCACCCACCTCACAGGGTGTCTGTAGTGGGGAGGGGAAGGGAAAGGCGTTTGTAAGCCGCTCTGAGACTCCAACTGAAGGGTGGGGTATAAATCCAATCTCCTCCTCTTCTTCTTCTTCTCATGGTGACTGAAAGTGCTGTCAATTCACAGCCGATCTAGGGTGACCCTGTCGGGTTTTCAAGCAAGAGAAGAACAGAGGTGGTCTGCCACGGCCAAGGACTAACCAGGACTGATCCTGCTCAGCTTCCCAGATCTGATGAGATCAGGCTAGCTTGGGCCATCCAGATCTGGGTCGAGGACTGATACCAGATATCAAACCCCACACTTCCGGTCTACATTAGACATCTCCCCAAGGTCTCTTCCAACTAAAGGTGAGGGCCTTCCTCCAGCCCAAGGCCCTTTCCCTGACGCTGGCTGTTCTGTCAGATCTTGTTTCAGTGGGAGGGGCCACCACCGGATAGACCTGTGAGATCCAAACCCACGGATCTGTGGAACCGCTAGTCAGTCCTCCTTCAGCACTGCTTGGATTATAGGGACTCATTGTGGGGGGTAGCTGTGGGGCTCTTTTTGTAGCAGGGACTCCTTTGCATATTAAGCGACACACCCCTAATGTAGCCAATCCTCCAAGAGCTTACAGTAGCTCCTATAAGAAGAGCTCTGTAAGCTCTTGGATCTTTTTCTACGAAACGACCCCTGACTGCTTAGATTATAGGGACTCATTGTGGGGGGTAGCTGTGAGGACAGAAGGTGGCATTCAAACGTACAGGGGTCTTGCCTGTTCAAATCTAGGTCGGATCGCCCTTTGTTAAGCCGCAGGTCACCCGGAAATGTGGCAGGGGCGGTGGAAGGTGCCGTGAAGTTGCAGCTGACTTGTGGCAACCCCGTAGGGTTGTCAAAGCAAGAGAGAGCAACAGAGGTGGTTTGCTACTGCCTGTCTCTTGTGTAGCAGCCGTGGACGACTCTGGCCGCCTCCCATCCAAGTAGTAACTAAGCCCAACTCTGCTTAGCATCCCAGATCTGAGGATATTGGGCCATCCAGAATGGAAGAAGAAGAGAAAAGAGAAGAAGAGATTGGATTTATACCCTGCCCTTCACTACCTGAAGGAGTCTCCCGTTTACCGTCTCTTTTCCCTTCCCCTTCCCCACAGCAGACACCCTGTGAGGCAGGTGGGGCTGAAAGAGCTCTCCTGAGAGCTGCCCTTGAGAGAAAACAGCTCTGAGAGAACTTGTAACTGACCCCAGGTCACACCAGCAGCTGCATGCGGAGGAGTGGGGGAATCAAACCCAGTTCTCCCAGATTAGAGTCCGCGCTCTTAACCACGACACCAAACTTAGAGCAAAGGTAAGGTGACACTACTTCCAAGGAAAAGAGGGAGTCTTTCATTAAAGTAAAACAGAGTCCACATGTCTCACCTCCTGACCCACACTAACTCTGTCCCCGGTTTTCTAAAAAGAAGAGCTAAAGGGGTCTTTACAAAGAACGGGGGTGGAGGGGGACGGGACCAGTGTTCCCTCTAAGCTGAGTTAATGTGAGCTAGCTCACTGTTTTTTAGCCTCCGGCTCACAGATTTTTGCCTTAGCTCAGGAAGGGATGGCTCCAGAGCAAACGAACTGATGCAGTAGCCAAATCGCTCACTCACAACTTTCATGCCAGGAGCTCACAAAGAATTTTTGCTCACAAGACTCCACAGCTTAGAGGGAACATTAGACAGGACCCTTGTGATTTCAGCTCGGCTTTCAAAAGAAGTATTCAAATCCGGTAGAAATGATCAAGCCAGCGATGATTCACCGACTCCCCCCCCCCCCCCCTCCTTCTCCCCTTAACAAAGCTGTGAAATGTCCCAGCTGTTTCCTTTTTCTTTCACCTTTGCTCGGCATCGGTTGAATAGACCCAACCAGAAGCGTATCAAATCTTTGTAGTTTTTTTCGTTTTCTTTGCCCGGATCTGGAGTGTCCCTGGGGTTTTCCCCAGGCTGGGCTTTCCAGGTTGCTGGGCACTGTGGCAAAGTTTTCGTGAGGTGTTCATGAGCAAATGGGCTTGGCCCAGAAGCAGGAAATTACTCTCTTGGCTGGGTCTGAGGAGTGAGTCACGGAGGCGGACAATCCACACTCAGAGGGGGGAGAGCACAAAACAGAGGAACAGAAACCAATTGTGGGCAGACAGGCAGAGCGAGAGAGACAGGCAGACTCCAGCTGAACACCTAACAGCTTAAACAGGAGACAGATCAAGATGGGCAGCCTTGTTAGTCTGTAGCCGCAGAAAAGAGCAAGGGTCCAGGAGCACCTTAAAGACTAACAAAGTCTGTGACTCACGAAAGCTCACCCCCCCATTTTTTAAAGTCTTTAAGGTGCTATTGGACTCTTGGGCTGCAGTCACACACACTAAACCAGGGGTGTCAAACATGAGGCCCGGGGGCCGGATCAGGCCGCCGGAGGGCTTCTATCAGGCCCGCAATGGAACTGGCTGTCTTCTGCTGCTTCTTCCAGTTCTGCTGCTGCTGCGTCATCGTAGGTTTGCAGCTTACAGATACACACCTGAACGGCATGATCAAGATTGCAACAGCACAGGCATTTTGATGCAATAATCCAGAGCGAGAGGTGTCAGTTATCAGACACGGTTAAAGAAACAAAATATTGCGGGAGTGTTTGTGTCCTTTATAAAGTTTATATCTCCGCTCCCCGGCAGCCAGTTTGGTGTAGTGGTTAAGTGTGCGGACTCTAATCTGGGAGAAGTGGGTTCGATTCCCCACTCCTCCACTTGCACCTGCTGATGTGACCTTGGGTCAGTCACAAGTTCTGTTAGAGATGTCCCTGAAAAAGAGCCATTTTGTGTCAGAGTTCTGTCAGCCTCACCCACCTCACAGGGTGTCTGTTGTGGGGAGGGGGAGGGAAAGGAGTTTGTAAGCCGCTCTGAGACTCCAAGTGAAGGGCAGGGTATAAATCCAATCTCTTCTTCTTCTTTTACCTCACAGGGTGTCTGTTGTGGGCAGGGGAAGGGGAAGGAGTTTGGAAGCTGCTCTGAGACTCCAAGTGAAGGGCGGGGTATAAATCCAATCTCTTCTTCTTCTTCTTCCATTGTATGACACACGTGGCCCGGCCTGACAAGGTCTCATTTATGTCAGATCCGCCCCCCCCCCTTAACAAATGAGTTCGGCACCCCTGACTCAATAAATCCACTTTCAATGCACTTTCCGTTTCCAACTGGATGTTGCCAATTCGCACCGTAAAATCCAGTTGGGAAGTGTATTGGAAGTGGAATCTTTAGTGCGTGTGATCGCAGCCTTGCTCTTTTCTGATGTTACAAACTGGATTTGTTTTTAAAGGCGCTGACCTGGATGACCCCGTCTTGTCAGATCTGGGAAGCGAAGCAGGGCGGGCCCCCGGCTCCTTTTGGGACGGGAGTCCGCCAAGGAAGCCCCGGGTTGCTCCGCAGAGGCAGGCAGTGGCCAGCCACCCTCTGTTCCTCTCTTGCCTTCAAAACCCCACGAGGGCTCGCCATACGTTTTCTTCCGGTGGACACCACTTTACAGACACGTTTTTAAAGACCAAGGGTGGTGGACGAAACCATCGATCTGGTTTGGAAACGGTGTTGGGGGCTGCTGGGCAGTGTTCCCTCTAAGATGAGTTGGTGTGAGGTAGCTCACCATTCTTTAGCCTCCGGCTCACATGTTTTTGTCTCAGCCCAGGAAGGAAGGCTCCAGAGCAAACTAATTGATGCAGCAGCCAAATCGCTCGCTCACAACTTTAATGCCAGTAGTAGCTCACAAAGTAGAATTTTTGCTCACAAGACTCCACAGCTTAGAGGGAACATTGCTGCTGGGCAGGTCGTCCTCCATGGTGAGGTGAAAGAAGGTGGACCAAATTCTCCGGAAAGAGAGCTTCCCCACCAGTGCTCCATAGAATCATGAAATGATAAGAGTGGGAAGGGGACCTCCAGGGTCATCTAATCCAACCCCCTGCACAAGGCAGGGAATCCACAAATACCTTCCCACCCCCCACCCCCACTGCCCTGTTCTATGCCCAGAAGATGACGGAAAACCTCCAGGATCCCCGGCCAAACAGGCCTGGGGAAAAATGGCTTCCTGACCCTGAAGCTGCAATTGGCATTTCCCCGGGTGTGTCAGAAAGGGCCACAGGAACTAAGCACTGAGGCAACCCTTCCTGCCCTCCCTCTCATGATCTGCCTCACTTCACAGAACCAGCATTGCTGTCAGCTTATAAGCGAATAAACGCATGAAGCTGTCTTCTACTGAATCACACCATCGGTCCATCCCAGTCAATCTTGTCTACTCAGACTGGCAGCAGCTCTCCAGGGTCTCGGGCTGAGGACTTCCACATCACCGACTGCCAGATCTTTTAACTGCACGACCGGCTCCTGAGACAATTGCTGGTCTGCCCCTTGAACATGCTGCCACAGGACACTCCTGACCAATGTTCCCTCTAAGCTGTGAATGCTGGGGATTATTAGGAAGGGTATTGTAAACAGATCAGCCAATATCATAATGTCGCTATATAAATCAATGGTGCGACCTCATCTGGAATACTGTGTGCAATTCTGGTCACCTCACCTTAAAAAGGATATTATAGCTTTGGAAAAAGTGCAGAAAAGAGCAACTCGAATGATAAAAGGGTTGGAACACTTTCCCTATGAGGAACGGTTAAGGCGCTTAGGGCTCTTTAGCTTGGAGAAACGACGACTGAGGGGTGACATGATTGAGGTTTATAAGATTATGCATGGGAAAGAGCAGGTAGAGAAAGAGGTACTTTTCTCCCTTTCTCACAATACAAGAACCCGTGGGCACTCCATGAAATTGCTGAGCGGTCGGGTTAGAACAGATAAAAGGAAGTACTTCTTCACCCAAAGAGGGATTAACACTTGGAATTCACTGCCACAGGAAATAGTGGCAGCTACAAGCATGGACGGCTTCAAAAGGGAATTAGATAAGCATATGTGGATGGGTCTTTGGCCTGATCCAACATTGGCATCTCTTATGTTCTTATGTCTTGTGAGCAAAAATTCTACTTTGTGAGCTGCGGGCCTTAAAGTTGTGAGCGAGCAATTTGGCGACCGCATAGATCAGTTTGCTCTGGAGCCCTCCTTCCTGAGCTAAGACAAAAACCTGTGAGCTGGAGGCTAAAAAACGGTGAGCTAGCTCACACTAACTCAGCTTAGAGGGAACCCTGCTCCTGACTTAAGTTGTGGGCTGTCCTTTCCATTCAACTGGGACTGCAATGAGGCCCAACAGCTTTAGTTAGCCCCCAGTATCAGCTGTGTCTATCCAAAAGCGCATCCCAGAATCCTTTGCAACACCACCTTCCATGGTAGAGGTGCCAACGCAGAACAGGCCTCCTCACCACAGGTTGTGGACGAACTGCCCAAATGGCAAAGGTCTTGTTGGTATCTCTTCATTGCCGTCTCTCTTTCCGTCCCTTTCTTCCTTTCCCCACTCCCCAGGCTTATGCTGAAATTGGCAGAAGAGACCAACGGGGTCATCGTCACCAACGACCAGTTCCGTGAAAAAGAGCAGTTTGTGTCAGAGTTCTCTCAGCCCCACCTACCTCACAGGGTGTCTGTTGTGGGGAGGGGAAGGGAAAGGAGTTTGTAAGCCGCTTTGAGACACCTTTGGGTAGTGAAGAGCGGGGTATAAATCCAATCTCTTCTCTTCTTCTTCTCTTCTTCATTGCCGTCTCTCTTTCCGTCCCTTTCTTCCATTCCCCACTCCCCAGGCTTATGCTCAAATTGGCAGAAGAGACCAACGGGGTCATCGTCACCAACGACCAATTCCGTGATCTTGCGAAGGAATCCAAGAAGTGGATCAGAATTATCAAGGAGAGGTGAATTGGAGCTGGAAGCGACTTCTTTTTCCTGTTTTGTGGTGTTTGACTTGCGAGCTGTGCCGTGTTGGGTGGGATTTTGGTTTCCCTCAGAGGCTCAGTTTAGGGACCGATTGGATCAGGGAGGCTGAAGAATTGCAGATGAACGTTTCTAGGCCACAGGGCCATTGACTTGTTTTTAAAAAAGACACGTGGTACGGTCCTAAGAGGGAGCCATGTCAGAATGCTGGTGGATACGGAGGGTCTATCACGCTATTGAATGATCCCACACAAGAAGCACCCCCCGTCAGAAACTTCCTGTCCGTTGAAAGCCAGAAGTCACTGTGAGAAGAGAGACGGTGCTTTAATGATGTGAGTCTTCTCATGTCACAGACGTGTAAAAGGTAAAGGTTTCCCTTGCTTGAAAGCCAGTCGAGTCCGACTCTAGGGTTGCGGTGCTCATCTCCGTTTTCAAGCCGAAGAGCCAGCGCTGTCCGAAGACGTTTCCGTGGTCATGTGGCCGGCATGACTAAACACCAAGGCGCGCGGAACGCTGTTCCCTTCCCACCGAAGTGGTCCCTATTTATCTCCTTGCAATGTCTTGCTTTCGAACTGCTAGGTTGGCAGGAGCTGAAACTAGAGACGGGAGCTCACTCCGTCATGTGGCACACTCGGGTCTCGAACTGCTGAACTACCGACCTTCCACAGCCTGCAGTTCAGCGTCTTAACCACTTGAGCCACCGCAGCTCCTGTCACAGACGTGTAGGAGCTGCCAAGTCTCTGCCGACTCATGGCAATCCGAGCAAGGGGCTTTCAAGGCAAGTGAGAGGCAGAGGGGGCTGGCCATTGCCGTCCTCTGCAGGGTCTTCCTTGGTGGTCTCCCTTCCATCTACTGACCCTGGTAGTAGCTTCCAAGATTGGGCTGTGCCATGCTGCCTTCCTGCCCTCTCTTCTGTTCAAATAGCTGAGAAAAGCGATAAGAGCTCTCGTTGACTGTTCTAATGTGGGTACTGAGGCTGTGCTGGAGATAGGGGGCGCTCCACCCAACATCTCTATGGCACAGGCCCTATGGGCATTGGGCTGCTTGCCAAATGCTGCCATTTGGGCAGGTGGGCCATGATGCCAACAGAAGACACTCTGTCCCTGTGTCTATCCTGCTGTATGGTTGGGGGAGGAGCCAGTGGCTCAGTGGTAGAGCTTCTGGCTGGCATGCAGAAGGTCTCGGGTTCAATTCCTGGCCTCTCCAGTTAAAAGGAACTGGGCAAGAAGAAGTAGAGATTGGATTTATACCCTGTTCATCACTTGGAGTCTCAGAGTGGCTTACAAACTCCTTTCCCTTCCCCTCCCCACAACAGACACCCTGGGAGGTGGGTGGGGCTGAGAGAACTCTCTCGAGGACTGGCCTTTCAAGGACAGCTCTTGTCAGAACTATGGCTTGCCCAAGGTCATCCAGCAGCTGCAGGTGGCGGAGTAGGGAATCGAACCCGGTTCTCCCAGATTAGAGCCCGCACACTTAACCACGACACCAAACTGGTATTTGTGAATTTCCTGCATTGTGCAGGGGATTGGACTAGAGATTATATTGTTGCCCTGCAAGGCGCTTATAGCCCTCTTATGGACATGGTTCATAAGTGATAGAAACTGGACTGTGCAAGCAGTGTGCAAAAGGGACTGAACTGTGTTGGTGCCCCCAAAATGATGTCAACTACAGACACACACCCAGAAGAAGGAAGCCTTCCTTTGAGATGATGAGCCAATGATTCTTAAGGTTACCTGCCCTCTTACCTGCTGTAAGACGGACCAGCTCCCTAGCCACGTGTAGCACTGAAAACCAAGGCGGAAGACCAGAGACATGGAATCCAAACGCCATGTGGAAGCTGCTTCCTTGCAAGTGCAGGCAGTTTTATAATCCAAGGTATAATAATGTCAAATTTATGGGTCTGTTTCACAGTTCTTCTCAGACATCAACCTTATCTTTTTTTGCCCAGTAATTTTATTAAGAAAGTTCCTTTCTGTTCTCTTCTTAGCCGCTTTGAAGAGTAGGATGGGGGGAAGATTCTCACTCCTCCCTTTCCCCCCCTTACAAATAGTTTAAAAGGTTTAATCAGTGGGAAAGTTCCTTGTATTGTTGCAGTTTGGATTCCTCATCGTGATTTGTCTTCTTGTACTACTCTCTCGGTTCTTCTGCCAAAGCCTGGTAGGGCTCAAGGTCTCAAGCTGGCAAAGAGCGACCTGTTTCTCTCTGTCAACATTCCAAGCATTTTACGCTTAAAAGCTCACCTCTTCAGTCTCCGGTTCGCCTCTGGACAAAGGGAGGGAGTCACCCATTAACAACGCTGCTCCACAGTTCAAGTCTTGAAAGATCTCAACAGAATTTATTGAAGATGATTACAAAAAAAGTTACTACTCACTGCACCTTAGCAGTGAGTATCAAACGCACTGACATTCACAGAGTTCCCTGCCCCCTGGCCCCCGTAGCCTGGAAAGAAAGGTAAGGTTCTGCAGAAAGACATCGGATCTTAAACTGTCTGCCCCCCCAACTCAAGGCCAAGTAGCTACGTAATTATTATTTGCAGCTGTGGAGTTCTTAAAGAAAAAGGCAAAAACTCCAAGGTCTTCTGCTAGGACAGTGCACGGGGCTGGAGCTGAAACCACTTAGAGTGTCTATTTCAAATTAACCATCTAAAAGTGAAAAGAGAAGCATATGCTGCTTCCATACACACCCCCAAGCACCTCATAAAAGCAGGTGCACCCAGCCAGTCTGAGTAGACAATACTGACCTTGATGGACCAAGGGTTTGATTCAGTAGAAGACGGATCCTGCGTATGTGTGCCAGTTTGGTGTAGTGGTTAAGTGTGTGGACTCTAATCTGGGAGAACCGGGTTTGATTCCCCACTCCTCCACTTGCACCTGCTGATGTGACCTTGGGTCAGTCGCAAGCTCTGGCACAGCTGTCCTTGAAAAAGAGCAGTTTGTGTCAGAGTTCTCTCAGCCCCACCCACCTCACAGGGTGTCTGTTGTGGGGAGGGGAAGGGAAAGGAGTTTGTAAGACGCTCTGAGACTCCCAAGTGAAGGGCGGGGTATAAATCCAATCTCTTCTTCTTCATGTGTGAGATCATGTGACATTTCTGGAGTTTTTTTTTCTTGCCAGAGTGCTGCAGTACACCTTTGTGGAGAACATTTTCATGGTTCCCGATGACCCGTTGGGACGAGGCGGACCCACCTTAATGGAATTCCTGAAGAAAACCCCCAGGTATCCATCCACAGTGGGAACCAGGCTGTTGACCTGCACTGGGAGGGGGTCATTTATGAGTGGAAAAGGAAGCAGAGGATCATGGGAAGGCAGAACCATCTACCTCTTTAAATAAAAGTTAATAAAAAAGGTGGTGGGGAAATCCCTTTTAACCGCTGGAATGTTGTAACTGCTGGTCGTATGATACTGCTCCACCTTTTGGCCAAGATAGAGAAGTGTCTGGATTTGGGTCTCAAAATTTGGTTTCGAGCTGAAGTGAACTTGGATATTTAGGCAAATTCTATCTAGTTCATATTTCCTTGCCCCCCCCCAAAAAAGTATTGCAGATACTAGCCTGCTTGCTCACAAATAGCACTTCCTTAAATTGCACATTGTATGTGTTTGGGTGAAGAGCTTCTCTGTGTAATCAGCTACAAACAGGGCTATTTTTGGGCAGGAACGCACAGGAACGGAGCTCCGGCTGGCTCCCAAGTTGGCCACGCCCAGCAGGAACTCATTAGCATAATAGACCACACCCAACAGCAGCAACTCATTAGGATTGGCTACAATTAGGGGTGTGTGGCCTAACATGCAAAAAGCCCTGGGTTTTGAAAACAAACAAGGTAAGGAGAATAAGAAGCAAAAGGTGGGTGTGGCTGGATGATCACACTTCTGGTGGCATGGGGGTGTGGCCTAATATGCGAATGAGCTGTGCTGTCAGGGTGTGGCCTAATATGCTAATGAGTTCCTGCTGTTGGGTATGGCCTATTATGCTAATGAGTTCCTGCTACAAACAATACATTCAGGCCCGATTAGAGACAATTTAGGATAATATGATACATCCAATTATGATTATTTTTTTTAATTCAGCAGAAAAACATACTGTGCTCAGTCTGGCAAGTTAACATTTTGATGTCTTTAAAGGGTATCGGCGAGACTTAAAAATTTAAGTTTCTCTAAGAAACCCTTTTTCAAAAGCCAAGATTTTTTTTTTTTTAAATTACATTTCTGGTTTAGATTTTGACATGTCCGCCGATGTTGAAATTTGGCAAGGCTCTGCTTCAGCC